TCCCAGTTTCTATGCATTCCTTTTGTTCTCTGGTTAGATGTGATCATTGGGGAAAACATCTTCCCCAAATTTTCTGGACTGGATTCATATGGGGAAAGACCTTCACAGAGATTGTTGGGGACTCTCAAACCTTTGCTGGGAGGCATCTTCTCTGGGCTGTGTGTGAGTTTATAGTTGTGCTCCAGGTCACATCATCATCTCTGCCTGGTGTCTTGCTTCTGGTACTGAAGTTCCTCTGGCAGGATAACTAGGTGTTTTCCATAGTTCTCAGTTGCTCCTAATCTGGTACCCAGAGGCCACTGCTGTTTCCATTAGAACTCCAAGTCAGGTAAGGTATAACGCACTTCCTCAGGTAGCCCCTGAGAGGACAATACATATTCTCTTTCCCTTCCAAGACAAATGCTAGGAGTTGCGGGGTTTCTGCTTATCCTGAGATGGTGTTTCTGGCACTGGCAGGGCCTTGGCTGACAAACACAAAGAATGCTGCCACCCACTGTGAGGAAGTACCTTTTGGCTTTGTGTTCATCTGGGCATGATGTAAAGCCTTAACTGGCTTGTGGATCTCTTACAGGTAATTTGGACCATGTTGGCCCATGTATGTTCAGTCAGGACTCTGTGGGTGAAACAAAGATCTGGGACTTCCTAATCCTTTGTGTTACTGATAGCACTGTGTCCCACATCGTATTTTATTAACCACTAATGAATTGATGACACTCATTAAAAAAATCTAAAGAAAATACATTCTGGAGCAAAATGAGAACTACATGATGCACAAAAATCATACACTGCTGGAATCACTTGTGAATTTTGCCACAAAATGGCTACAGCCTGTTGTGATGTTGGGAGATTCTGGTGGATAAAAAGAAACCAGGATCACCTCTTTGGACTAGTTGGTTGTGGATACATCATGAAGCAGTATGGGTGGAAACTTCATCAGTACAAACACAGAGACAGTTGTCCTGCACATATCTGAGAGCATGATGATTTTATGGGTGTTCTGCTGAAAGGCAGCTGGGTCATTGCATAACCTCAGTGCATACAGATGTTAGCACTTAAAGTGTTCAAGATCACATGAGCATCAAATCAGGCTGTGCTTTTAGACTTTCAGTACTCTGCTTCCAGGGATTAGTGTTTAGCACAGTGATGCCTGAATCCTGTACTGAGGTGCTAGGTTTGTGTTGCAGCTCTGCTTCTTAATCCACTTCCTGCAAATGCATTTGATGGGAGGCAGCAGATGATGGCTCAAGTTTCAGGTTCCTTCTACTTATGTGGGAGACCCACACTGACTTCTTTGCATTGGGTTAGTCCTGGCCCTGCCCTAGCTATTGGGGGCACCTGGGGAGTAGACTACAAGATGGGTTTTATCATTGTCTGATAATTTATCATTATCTTACCTTTGTCTCTCTCTGCCTTGCAGATACATAAAAATGAATGAAAAATTTAAAAGGACTGCTAGTCCCAGTCCAACAAAATCATAGATGTGTATCCATTACTGGACTCATCTGTTTTGGGAGGCCAAGGCCCAATTGTGTCCTGAACAGTCCTGAGGAGACAGCCTCAGCCCTCTCTACTCACTGGGCATGGAATGGAAATGCATTCTCACTTGCCCGCCATGGGCCAAAGCAAGAGAGCCCCACCCAGTGAATTTTGTGGGACACAGAGGCTGCAGGAGGGATTGTTGGAATCATTGTTTCCTCATATGTGGGCCAGCAGGGTAGTTTGGACAGCTGGGCAGATGAGCTCCAAATTTTATAATCCAGGTGACAAGAACCAGTGGAAATACTGCTTTCCTTTTACCCTGGTTCCTTACAGAGTGACTCAGTACATTTACACAACTATTTACCATACAGCAGGAACAATAGAAGATATATATATATATATATATATATGGAATCTTTTAAATTTCATGGAAAATGTATATTATGAACATTTCTCTTAATTACATTTTCTTTTTTTCCCCCAGATTTATTTATTTATTTGAAAGGCAGTGTTACAGAGAGGCAGAGGCAGAGGCAAATGCAGAGGTCACTCTCCAAATGGTAGAAATGGCCAGATTTGTGCTGATCTGAAGCCAGGAGCCAGGAGCTTCCTCTGGGTCTCCCATGTGGGTACAGGGGCCCAGGCACTTGGGATATCTTCCACTGCTTTTCCAGGCATTAGCAGAGAGCTGGATGGGAAGTGAAGCAGCCAGAATTCAAACCGGTGCCCATATGGGATGCTGGCACTGAAGGTGGCAGTTTTACCTGCTACAGCACAGTGCTGTCCCCTTAATTACATTTTTTTCTAAACGCTTTTTGGAGTACTCTCTCTCTCTCTCTCTCTTTTTTTTTTTTGCTACTTCTAAAGTACTGGGCTGTGTTACCAAATAAACATGGAAACATCAATAATTTATGTCAATGCAATTTGATAAGAGACACTCTTAGACATACTTATTCAAATTAGTAAGAAGCCGTAAGTTGCCAAGACATAAAATACCAACCGAAGCAAGTGCTTAGGAAATGAACACTGGAAGCTTGTCTATAGAGACTAATGAGAACCTAGAATCAGATTCTTGGCAAATAAGAGTGAATTCTCCTTAGATACCATCCTTAATACAATGAATTTACAGACATAACAATCACACGCTGAGTTGTGGAATTCAAAATGGGAGTCTGAAATTTACATAAAGATCATGTAACTTATCAGCAGCAAGGAGCACAGGTGAGCTTTCGCTCTGAAAAGTTTCCAGGTACACGTAACTTTTCCTCTTCCATTAATATCAGCAAGGCCTCAGAGACTGGGATAACATGGACCATGGCTAATGAGGAGCTCTGTGCACTGAGCCCCCAGGGTCTTCCAAGTATAAATAATGAGCCAGCACCTTTAGACCTTGACTTTGCCAGTGGAATTCTAGTAGCTCCATGCTGATTCCTACCACGGGGAGCATCAGCATCAGGAGGGCACGGCCTGACTGTTCCCTTTCCAGTCCTGAGTATAGGATGCAAGTCTCCATTGCACTCCCCACAGAAGAGGAGCAGGGGAGCCATCACTCTTGGTCATGCTTCAGCCAAGACTCAGTGCAGCCTGGTAAGTGCTGAGGGAGATGGTGCAAGGATCTGGGAATGTTGGGACCATTGTTTCCTCATCATTAGGTTGAAATGTTTGCTGTGAAAGACAGATTCACTCCCCAAATAGGCCACATTTCAGCTTAGGAAGTTGTGATGTTTATGCTCTTAGTTTTCAAGAGACTCAGACAGTTTTTTTCTTTCCTCTCATGCTGATTGTTCTTCCCACTGGCATCTCCTTCATGATTGCAGCAAACAAATCTGTACAAGTTATCCCTGAACACCCCAATGTGAACATGAGTTTCAGGATGAGGATATCAGTAACCAAAGCATCACAGGCATTAAGTGCCACTGTCTGAACTCTACGTCCTTAGTAGCTCATTTCATTTCATCACGTAGCCCACATTTTTATTTTATAGAGGAGGAGAGGGGCTAGGCACTCTCATGGAATTCACATCAGGTTGTCAGGTCGAAGCAGCAGTGGGCGATTCTGAATCAGGTGGTCTGATTTCAGACACAAGGAACCTGTTCGGTATTCCCCTGTGACTATCCAAGCAGTCATTTCCCTTTTCTGTCCTTCCAGGAAGAGACCTCCTATTTGCTGTGCTCTTCCTTTGGGGTTTCTTTGTAGACCATGGTGGGCAGCAGCCAGGGAAGGGTGCTGAGTTCAAAGGCAAAGATCACAGATGAACAGGCACAGGGTAACTCAGGGAAGATCTTTCTCTTGAGAGTTCACTTCAGCTTTCAACTTCCTCGACTTCTCTTGTAATCTTGCCACTTACTATCAATATGAGACATTAAGATAGGGGTTAGGTCCCATTTGTCCTGCAGAAACTGTGAAGAGATTGACAACCAACTTCAAAGGTACCTAGTGTTGTAACTTAGGGAACTCTGCTTAATACATTCTGATGGTTGGGAGATAATGGAGATGCGTCAGATCCAGAGACCATACAGTTTTGAATCCTGACCAATCCACTGATTATTCCTATGCATAGAGGATTTTCCAGGATCTTTGACCCGGGCATTGTCATCTGAGTTGATACCTCATTAAGTAATGAATGGATTTATAGAAGCTTCTTATGTGATGTATATGCAATAGATGAATCAAAAGTGGACAAAAGAAATTTTAGATATTGTTATTACCATTTTAAGGTTGATCTTCATTTCACTCACTAAAATATAAGCTGCTTGACCCTGTTCATTCCTATTTCTGTAGCAGGACTTGTTACTGCTTTCCTTGTATGAGAACTTCAAAACATTCACAGAAAAATGGGATGAAAAATTTGAATTTATTTTGGTCCCAATTTTTAAAAAATCATGACAAGTTTTTCATAATATGCATTTTCCACATATTATGACAAGATTTTTATATCCCAAAGTTTAATTCTATTAATATTAATTGATACTTTATTTTCATTCCTACAAAACCTTTTAGAGTGCAAATATATCCTTGCAACATATAAGCAATGTATTTTGGGAACAATGACATTCCCATTCCCTTTTCCTTTTTTGATTCCTCAGACCCTATTATTTGCTTCTCACAGAGGAGTCATAAAAATAACCTCTGTTGCATATTGAGTAGAGCATCCCTTGGCTCATAGTCTCTGATTTTCAAATAAAAAAAACTTTTTTAAAAAATTTCTTTGCCAGGTAGTGTTACAGAGAGTGAGAGAGACAGAGAGAAAGGTCTTCCTTCCATTGGTTCACCCCCCAAATGGCTGCTACAGCCGGTGCTGCACCGATCCAAAGACAGGAGCCAAGTGCTTCTTCCTGATCTCCCATGCAGGTGCAGGGGCCCAAGCACTTGGGCCATCCTCCACTGCCCTCCTGGGCCACAGCAGAGAGCTAGACTGGAAGAGGAGCAACCAGGACTATAACCCGGTGCCCATATGGGATGCCGGTGCCGCAGGTGGAGGATTACCCAAGTGAGCCACGGCGCAGGCCCTCAAATAAAAATTTAAAAAATGAATCATGAAAGAGCTGTAAGATTGAGTTCATCACTGTCAAGAAATTATTATGGAGGCCGGCACTGTAGTGTAGAGGGTAAAAGCCACTGCCTGCAGTTCTGCCATCCAATATGGGCACTGGTTCGACTTCCGGCTGCTCCACTTCTGATCCAGCTCTTTGCTATGGCCTGGGAAAGCAGTAGAAGATGTCCCAAGTCCTTGGGCACCTGGCTTCAGATTGGCTCAGGTCCTGCCGTTGTAGCCATCTGGCGAGGAACTGGTGGATGGAAGACCTCTCTCTCTTTTTCTCTCTGCCTCTGCCTCTAACTCTGCTTTTCAAATAAACAAATAAATCTTTAAGTATTGTATTGCATTAAAATTTTTCTCTTTTAATTCAATTATTCTAAGAACCTTAGAGTTACCCATGTACTACACACATAACTGGTTGAACTGAAAATAATAAAATGTGCCGATTGCCTGCTTGTGTGCTTCTGTTTACCAACACTGTTTTGTTTTCTCATAGGATTCAAGGATATATTGGAATGCAAAATATCACATGTGTCTCAGAATTCCATCTCATGGGATTCTCAGAGGATCCAGAACTGCAGCCCTTCCTCTTTGTGCTGTTTCTGTCAATGTACTTGATCACAGTGATCGGGAACCTGCTCATCATCTTGGTCATCATCTCAGACTCCCACCTGCATACCCCCATGTATTTTTTCCTCTGCAACCTGTCCTTGGCTGATGTGGGTTTCACCTCCACCACGGTTCCCAAGATGATTGTGGACATCCACACTCACAGCACAGTCATCTCCTATATGGGCTGCCTGACACAGATGTCTCTCTTTCTCATCTGTGGATGCATGGATGATTTGATTCTGACTGTGATGGCCTATGACCGGTTTGTTGCCATCTGTCACCCCCTGCATTACCAGGCCATCATGAATCCCAGCTGCTGTGGCTTCTTAGTTTTGACATCCTTTATGGCCAGCCTTTTGGATTCCCTGCTGCACAGTTTGATGGTCTTGAAAGTTACCTGCTTCATGGATGTTGAAATTTCTAATTTTGTCTGTGACCCTTCTCAGCTTCTCAGTCTTGCCTGCTCTGACTCCTTCACCAATGACATAGTCAGGTATCTTGTTGGCATCATATATGGTTTTTTCCCTATCTCAGGGATCCTCTTCTCTTACTATAAAATCATTTCTTCCATTCTGAGAGTCCCATCACCAGGTGGGAGGTACAGAGCCTTCTCCACCTGTGGCTCTCACCTGTCGGTCGTTTGCTTATTTTATGGAACAGCCATTGGGGTCTATCTCAGTTCAGCTGTTGCAGTGTCTCCTGGAAAGGGTGCCTTGGCCTCAGTGGTGTACACTGTGGTCACCCCCATGCTCAACCCCTTTATCTACAGCCTGAGGAACAGGGACATGAAGAGGGCCATGTGGAGGTTCCTCAGGAAAACAGGCTCATCTCAGTCCCTGCGCCATGCGTCTGGACTCTTGGTGGGAGCTGCAGCAAAATGAAGCTCTCGACCTATAAATCTCACTTTTCTACATACATAATGTGTGAGGCTGGTGCTCTCCAGATTTTGTGTCTGGTTATTTTTTCTTTTGGTCCTTTTAATGAGGCATATTATAGATTTTTTATATATTTTTCATACATAACCAGAGACTGGGAGGAATGAAGTGATAAAAGGCTTTTGGAGAAAAACTAAGAGAAGCTGTGTGTGTGGATCCATTATGGTGACTAAGACATTAATGAACTATTAATACAGGAAATGATGAGCTGAGGGGTGTAGGGGAATTCTTCGTATGACTACCTCACAATCTATGTTGCATAAATTTAAACCTATTCTGAAATAAAATGTTAAAAATATACAACTGTCAATAAAACTTATTTGAAAAGTTAAAAAAGCCACTGATTCTTCTTGATACCTGCTGAACACTCCACTGAATATCCCAATAAAGTTATGGTGTTCTTCATCTTCTATATTTCTGCTCATTTTTCCTTTTAGAGTTTATGTCTCTGTATTTTTAGTACCATTTTGCTAGTTCATCATTTTCCTGATTGCTTTTTTTTATGTTTCATCTGTGTTATCTGTTAGCATACTGATAATCTTTAAGTGGTTATTGTGAGTTTGCTGTGGGATGATGAAATATCTTCATTCCTTTAGGAAGATGTAGTACTTTATCTCTGGAGATGCAGTTTGTTAATTTGATTAGGTGAGATTTCCCTGTTTCCATGCTTTCTCGTACTCTCCATGGATATTTGAGCATTGGGGGAAAAAGCATCTCCCAGTCCTTATGTATGAGCTTCCAACAGGGAAAGACCTTCACAACAAATGTCTAAAGATTGTGGGTGACACCCAAAACTTCCCTGGGCTTCTGTGTGAGATTTGTGCAATTAAAGGGGTTAGCCTTTGTTCTCCGAGCTCATTGCCTCAACCTCCCCCTAGTGTCTGTTTGTGGTACTGCACTACCTCTGAGGGCAGTTAGTACTATTTAATGCCATTACCATGGGAGCTCCAAGGCAGGCAAGGTATGAACCAGTTCCTCAGGCAGCCCTGAGAAGACAGAACTTTGGATGAACGCTCCACCTTCTCTTTCCCTTCCATGAGAGATTGGAACTCCCTCCTAGGAGTTGGGATTCTTCTCATTCTGCTATGCTCTTTCTGGGACAGGGAGCTCTGTAGTGGGAAAATGCAACAAACGTATTTTTTTTCAACTTTTATTTAATGAATATAATTTTCCAAAGTACAGCTTATGGATTACAATGGCTTCCCCCCCATAACTTCCCTCCCACCCACAACCCTCCCCTCTCCCCTTACTCTCCCCTTCTATTCACATCAAGATTCATTTTCAATTCTCTTTATATACAGAAGATCAATGTAGCATATATTATTAAATAAAGCTTTCAACAGTTTGCACAGAAACACAAAGTGTAAAGCTTTCAACATTTTACACAGAAACACAAAGTGTAAAATACTGTTTGAGTACTAGTTATAGCATTAACTCACAATGTACAGCACATTAAGGACTCCTACATGAGGAGTAAGTGCACAGTGACTCCTGTAGTTGACTTAACAAATTGACACTCTTGTGTATGGTGTCAATAATCACCCTAGGCTACAGTCATGAGTTGCCAAGGCTATGGAGGCCTTCCGAGTTCACCGACTCTCCTTGTATTTAGACAAGGTCATAGTCAAAGTGGAAGTTCTCTCCTTCCTTCAGAGAAAGGTACCTCCTTTGATGACCTGTTCTTTCCACTGGGATCTCACTCACAGAGAACTTTCACTTAGGTCATTTTCTTTTTGCCAGAGTGTCTTGGCTTTCCATGCCTGAAATACTGTCATGGGCTTTTCAGCCAGTTCTGAATGCTTTAAGGGCTGATTCTGAGGCCAGAGTGCTGAACAAACATATTTTGATACACTTCTCCCTGGCTTTGCACTCATCTAGGCTGACACAATCTCTGAACTGTTTGTGGAGTTCTAACAAAGGCAATTTGGTCCAAAATGTTGGTAAATCCAATCCCAATGAGGGAAATGAAGAGCTAGAGTTTCCTATATCATCACCTTCTTGATGTCACTAATCTCCAAAGTATACTGCATTAAAGCCTTAATGACATAATAACACACATTAAAATACCTAAGGAAAATACATTCTGGTGTGCAAGGATCATTTACTTGGAGAGCAAACATCAGAGGCCTCTGTACTGGCAGCATTTGTTGAATGGCTACATCTGTTTGTGACATCATAGGGAGATGCTGCTGGAAGAAGAGAAATCATGGTTATTTCTTTGGACTACATGACTGATGATACACCATGGAGCAGTATGGTAAACTGTGTAACTACAAGATGCAGAGATACACCCACCCAACTGACAGTTCTGCAGGAAGATGTGGCTGAGAGCAGGTCATTTTATGGGTTGTGTAACGTGCTGGGGAGAAGATAGATAGATGCACAGCCTTGTGGTGCTTACACACCAACATCAGAGACCCACTGTTCAGTGCTTAAGTGCTCAAGAAATTCTGAGAAAATATCCTGTGCAATCTTAATGTTAGTGCACGGGGCAAGCATTTGGCATGGCAGTTAAGATGCCACTGGGGATGCAGGCATCTTAGTTTTGAGTGCCTGCGTTTGAGTCCTTGCTCTGCTTCCAGTTTTTACTTCTTGTTACTGTTCACCCTGGGATGCATCAGATGATGGCTGAAGTATTTCTGGCTCTGCCACGTACATGGCAGACCCAGGATGAATCATCAGTTCCTGGCTCTGCCTGACTCAGCACTGGGTTTTGTGGGCTGGGGAGTGAATCAGTCAATAGAAGTTTTCTCCCTTTGTCTTTCTGTTCTTGTTTGTCATTCAAATACAAAGAATGACTTTTTAAATAAGAATACTGGTTCCAGACTAGGAAATACTGTGCCTGTGTCTTCTCTTTCCACAGTAATCTGTATTAGGATGCCCAGACCTGGCTGTCTTCCCAACTGTCCTGAGGAGATAGCTCAGCCCTCATCGCTCACTGGGAAGACAAGTCAATGGACCCTCATTCCCCAGACATGTCCTACAGCAGGGGTGCACAGAAGGTGAGATCTGTGGGACACAGTGGATGCAAGAGGTACTGTAGGAAGTATGGTTTCCTCATGGGCAGGGCAGTTGACATAATTAGATTGGACTAGTCACTCAAAAGAAAAGTATAAGTACAAACACCTGAATTCTAAATCTTGGTTCATGGGTAGCATTCAGGAACTATCAGTAAGAATTCTGCATTCCTTTTCCAGTGTTTCTTTTTTTTTAAAAAAAAAAAAGATTATTTGATAAGACGGAGTTAAAGAAAGAGAAGGAGTGATAGAGAGAGAGAGAGAGAGAGAGAGAGAGAGAAGAAGAGAGGAAGAGAGGAAGAGAGAGAGAGAGAGAGAATATCTTCCATATGCTTGTTCATTCCCCAAATGGCCAAAATGGCCAGTGCTGGGCCAGCCTGAGCCTGAAGCCAGCAGCTTCCTCTGGGTCTCCCACATGTGACAGGGCTCAGCCACTTAGGCCATAGTCTACTGCTTTTCCAGGTGCATTAGCAGGGAGCTAGATCACAAGTGGAGCAGCTAGGACTTGAACAGGTGCCCAAATGGGATGTTGGTGCTGCAGGCTGTGACTTGACCCGCTATGTTACAGCTCTGGCCCCTACAATGTTTCTTAGTCTGAATGTTTACATGTCTATTTACTGTATCACAAGGTTAAATGAAGATATTTTTATACATATGGGGCCCTTCAAAAGTGTGAGGGAAAAATTTTGAAATTTGTTTTAATCCTGCATTTCTACAAATTCTTGAAGTATATCCAGCCTTTCATACTGCAGCTCCATGCATAAAATATCAAATAAATGTGTAATTATCAATAACTTGGTAATATATATTCAACCATAGACACAATTGAGAGAAAGCCATTTAAATGATTAAAATGCCCACAAATCTTCAACACATTCAATGCCAGCAAAAGCAAGGGTTTAGGAAATGAATATAGGAGTTGTCTTTAGAGACTAATGCTAACTGAAAAAATGCAGACAGTCTCAGATGCTTGGCATAGAAAATGGAATTCTCCATGCTTTTTATACTGCTGTAATGGACTGAAAGAATCACATTGGGATTTGTGAACATGGAGAACAGAAGTCTGAATTTTATGTAAAGATTCTGCATCTTGGAATTCAGCAGCAAGAATCTGAGGTGAGCGGTCCTTGGAGAACATTCCAGGTGCACTTACTTTTCTCCTATTTCTCTCATTAGCATCAGCAAGTCATCAGAGTCTGGGCTACATGGGTCTATAGGCTAATTAGGAGCTCTGTGCATTGAGCCCCCAAGGTCCTCTCAGTGCAAGCAATGAGCCACAGCCTACAGACCATGACATTGCAGTGGAAATATAATGGCCACTCCTCCCCATGTGAATGTCTGCATCACGAAGCCCCAGACTGAGTCTGTCTCCTTCCCTGTCCTGAGTCCAAAGCCTGAGGTTTCCTTGAACTCCAGGCAGAAGAGCAGCAGTGGAGCCATCACCCTTGGTCATGACTCTGCTCAGACTCAGCACAGCCCAGTAAGTGCTGAGGGAGACAGTGGAAGTTGATGGGGCTGTCAGGAACACTGCTGCTTCATTATCAGGACAAGCAGGACAGCTGGGCTAGACAGCTGGGAGGGAAACCATAGACAGTTTCAGCTCAGAGGCCTGTGCTAGTTTATGTTCTTGGTTCTCATCAGGGTCTGAGATTTCTCATTTTGAATTTTTCCCTCCCACAGTGATTCTCAGAACCACTGGATGTCTCTTCATGACAGCAGCCTGTGCATACCTAAAACTGTCCCCTGAGCACTCAGCAATGTCATGAAGGTGATGGTGAGGAGGAGGGGGAGGATGCCGTGACCCTAACATCACACAGCTTTATTGAGGGCTTCCTAAGTGCCAGGCTCTGAACCCTAGGTTCTAAGTAGCTTGTTTCATTTCATCAACATAAAATCATGTTCCATTGCCCATATTATTTTTATCTTACAGAAGAGGTGAGGAACCCTGAGTTTTTGTGTAACTTGTGTGAAGCTGTGGGGTAGAAATGGGTGAAATCATGTTGGAGACAAGTCGGTAGTCTGACTGTAGACACGAAGAGCATGTCTAGTATTCCCCTCTGACATAGCAGCCATCTCTTTCTCTCCTGTCACACCAGGATGGGACCCCAGTTCATTGTGATCTCTTTGGGGTTTCTTGGTAGATCACAGTGGGCAGCAGTAGCTAAAGTATGGTTGAGTTCAAATATTGGGGTTCCTGCCACACATGTGGAAGACCTGGATTGAATTCCATCTCCCAAAGCTTCTGCATGGGAAAACTCACAGTTCACTGGGGCAGTGAACCAGTGGAGGGAAACTCTCAAATCTCTATCCATCTGTGTCTCTGCCTCTCAAAACAAGCAGATACATGATACTTGAATGACTACTTCCATCTACAGAGGAGGGCAATCAGAAGAGCTAAGAATGATAAAACCCTAGAGGGCAACTGAACCCAGCAATATTTCCTGATTGTGAATACCCAACTTTAATTTGGTGATTATATAATGCAATTCTAGCTCTTAAGGTTATTATAGTTTGTTCAAGTAAACTATACTGTTGGTTACAAGAAAATAAGGTATATAGCACTCTGTTAGCAAGAATGTTTTTCTAAACAGGGAAAAGACACTTTTTATTCTTCCTTTTTAAAAACAAAGGGCGCTTCACCAAATGAAAATTTAGCAAGTAGGAAAGCAAAAAACCCTAGTTTAACAGCAATATAGGCAAGTGCTATAAATAGTAATTGAATGGAAAGATGACCATTTCACCCATAGATAGTAAATGTTAAAGTAATCACTGATCATTAAAAGTATAGTAGTATAACATAATGTCGATTACAAATATATTATCTCAAAAAGGAAAGAAAATTAGCGAGGGAGGGAATGAAGAGTGAATATTATTATATTGTATCTATGAACTAAATTAAATCTGCTAAAAACTAAAAAACTAAAAATGAATTCAAAGAACAGGTTACAATTGACTGTGATCATGGACTGAGTCCTTCTAATGTTTATGGTCTTTTAAAATTTTTCATTTGAGTGTCTCTAAAGTAGATGTGCATGGAAGGAGGTGAGTAACATGGAAACCAATCATGAAACACCCTAAGAAGCCAGAATATGTCATGGCTAGGAAGACTGGAAGTTATTTGCTCACCAGTGTGAATAAGATGGGGGAAACACATCATAAAAAATTATGAATTTCAAAATTATATAGCACCAAATAACATTTTCTTTTAATTCTGTTCATTGTATCTTTACTCTTGAACTACATCTATGACTAGTTGAGTTGAAAACATATACAGAGTGCTGGATGCCTGTTTATCTGTTTCCTTTTACCAACACTATTTTCTTTTCCAGAAGGAATGCAGGTTATATTGAAACACAAAATCTTACACGTGTCTCAGAATTCCATCTCTTGGGATTCTCGGAGGATCCAGACCTACAGCTCCTCATTTTCGTGCTGTTCCTGTTCATGTACCTGGTCACAGTGCTTGGGAATCTGCTCATCATCCTGGCTGTCACCTCAGACTCCCACCTCCACTCCCCCATGTACTACTTTCTCTGCAACCTGTCCTTGGCTGATGTGGGTCTCACCTCCACCACGGTTCCCCAGGTGATTGTGGACATCCACACTCACAGCATAGCCATCTCCTATGTGGGCTGCCTGACACAGATGTCTTTCTCCATCACCTTTGGATGCATGGATGATTTGATTCTGACAGTGATGGCCTATGACAGGTTTGTTGCCATCTGCCATCCTCTTCATTACCAGGTCAACATGAACCCCCAACGCTGCGGTTTCTTAGTTTCAGTGTCGGTTGTGGCCAGCCTTTTGGATTCCCTGCTGCACAGTTTGATGGTCTTGCAAGTTACCTGCTTCAAGGATGTTGAAATTTCCAGTTTCTTCTGTGACCCTTCTCAGCTTCTCAACCTCACCTGCCTTGACACGATCACCCATGACATATTCATATGTTTTGTTGGTGTCGTATATGCTTTTCTCCCTATGTCAGCACTCTTCTTCTCTTATTATAAAATCGTTTCCTCCATTCTGAGGGTCCCATCACCAGGTGGGAAGTACAAAGCCTTCTCCACCTGTGGCTCTCATCTGACAGTTGTTTGCTTATTTTATGGAACAGCTATTGGGGTGTATCTTAGTTCAGCAGCCTCACTTTCTCCAAAGACGTGTGCAGTGGCCTCGATGGTGTACAGTGTGGTCACCCCCATGCTCAACCCCTTTATCTACAGCCTGAAGAACAGGGACATCAAGAGGGCCATATGGAGGCTCCTCAGCAACACAGTCTCTGTGCCGTGCATTTGGAGTACTGGTTGGAAAAGCAGCAAAGCTTAGTTCTAGAACTACACATCTCACCTCCCTCATTCCATGGTATTTGAGGCTCTTGTTCTCACCATTTTTTTATATTTTATTTTATTTAATGAACATATATTTCTAAAGTACAGCTTATGGTTTACAATAACTCCCCCCCATAACTTCCCTCCCACCCACAACACTCCCCTCTCCCACGTCCTCTCCCCTTCCATTCACATCAAGTTTAATTTTCAATAATCTTTAAATACAGAAGATTAATTTAGCATATATTAAGTAAAGATGGTCCAGGTCCTTGGTCCCCTGTACCTGGTGGGAGCCCAGGAAGAAGCACCTGGCTCCTGGCTTTGGATTGGCGCAGCTCCATGTGTTGAAGCCAACTGGGGAGAAAACCATAGGATGGAAGACCTCTCTGTCTGTCTGTCTGTCTCTCTCTGCCTCTCCTCTTACTCTTTGTAACTCTTTCAAACAAATAAATTAATTAAAAAAAACTTGTGGAAGATACATATCATGAAACAATATAGGAATTTCAAAATCATACTGCACCAAGACAACTTTTCATTTCATTTATTCCACACACCTGAGAGTTACCTTTGTGTTATACCCATGACCAGCTGAATTGACAATATATACAAGTGCTATGTGACCGTTCATCTGCATCATTTTACCAACACTGTTTTCTCTTCCAGAAGGAGTAGGGGTTATACTGAAAAACAAAATATCACACATGTCTCAGAATTCCATCTTAGAGGATCGAGACTTGCAGCCCCTCATTTTGGTGCTGTTCCTGTCCATGTACCAGGTCACTGAGCATGCAAACCTGCTCATCATCCTGGCCATCAGCTCAGACTCCCACCTCCCCAAGGTACCTCCCCAAGGTACTTCTTCCTCTGCAGCCTCTCCTTGGCAAATGTGTGTTTCACTTCCTCCACATTTCCTAAGATGATTGTGGATGTCCATACTCACAGCACAGTCATGTCCTATGTGGGCTGCCTGACGCACATGTCTCTCTTCATCATCTATGGTTGCATGGATTTTTTGATTCTGAATATCATGGCCTGACCAGTTTGTTGCCATCTGCCATCCTCTTCATTACCCCCAACGCTCTCTTTTGTGGCTAGTCTTTTGGATTCCCTGCTGCACAGTTTGATGGTCTTGCAAGTTACCTGCTTCAAGGATGTTGAAATTTCCAGTTTCTTCTATGACCTTTCTCAGCTTCTCAACCTCACCTGCCTTGACACCATCACCCATGACATATACGTTTATTTTACTGGCATCATGTAGGTTTTTTCCCCACTCAGGGATCCTTTACTCTTACTATGAACGTATTTGCTACATTGTGAGAGACCCATCACTATCTAGGAAGTACAAAGTCTTCTCCACCTGTGACTCTCACCTGTTGGTTGTTTCCTTGCTTTATGGAACAGTCCTTGGGGTGGACCTGATTTCAGCTTTCTCACTTTCTCCCTGGAAGTGTGCAGTGTCCTCAGTGGTGTACAGAGTGGTTACTCCCACAGTCTGAGGAGCAGGGACATCGAGAGCACTATGCAGAGGCTCCTCAATAAAACAGTCTAATTTCAGTCCCTGTGCCCTACCTTGGATGGGAGGTTGGACAAGAAAGCAAAACTAGACATCTAAGGGCTGGAGCTGTGTTGCAGCAGGTTATTGCCCTGGCCTCAAGTGCTGGCACCTCATATGGGCACTAGTTTGAGACCAAGCTGCTCCACTTCCCATCCAGCTCTCTACCATGGGCTGGGAAAGAAGTAGATGATGGCCCAAGTGCTTGGGCCCCTGTACCCACATGGGAGATCCAAAAGAAGCTCCTAAATCCTGGCTTCTGATCGGCATAGCTCTGGCTGTTGTGGCCAATGAGAAGTGAACCATAGGATAGAAGACCTCTCTTTCTGCCTCTCTTTCTCTGTGTAACTCTTTCAAATAAATAAATACATCTTTAAAAAAACCTAGACATCTAGACACAAGAATCTCACCTCTCTCATGTTTGAGACTCTCGTGGCTTTCATCATTCTCCGCATTTCCTAAAGAAAATACATTCTGATGGGAAATGACTACTTACTTGATGAGGAAACACCAGAAGCCAGTGGGAAGCCAGTTTGGGCACAGAATGGTTAACGCTGTCTGTGACATCATAGATTCTGTGGGAAGAAGGGAAACCATGGTTCCTCCATTGGACTATATGATCATGGATACACCATGGAGCAGTATGATAGACACTGTGTAACTACACAATACAGAGAAACATCTGTCTATATGGCAGTTATTCTGTAGGAACATTTGTCTGAGAGCAGATGGTTTATGGGTTGTGTAACATGCTGGGAAGAAGAAAAATATATATGCAATCTTGTCGTGCTTCGAGAACGTCAAAAGTACTCTTTAGTCTCTAAAGGGCTCAACAACAGCACAGGCAATCACAGCCAAATAGACAAATGGGATTGCATCAAGCTGAGAAGCTTCTCCACTGCAGAAGAAACAACAAAGTGAAGAGGCAACTTATAGAATGGAAGAAAATATTTGCAAACTATGAAACTGATAAAGGATTAATATCCAGAATCTACACAGAGCTCAAGAACCTCAACAACAAAGCAATCCAGTTGAGAAATGGTCAAAGAACTTGAACATGCATTTTTCAAGAGAGGAAACTCAAATGGACAACAGACACATGAAAAATATGCTCAGGATCACTAGCATTCAGGGAAATGCAAAACCACAATGAGGCCTTACCTCAGCTCTGTTAGAATGGTACTCCTACAGAAATGAACAAACAGTAAGTGCTGGTGAGGATGTAGGGAAAAATGCACCCTAATCTCTTGGTGGGAATGTAAACTAGTACAGCCATGTGAAAGTCAGTATGGAGATACCTCAGAGAGCGGAAAACAGATATGCCTTATGACCTAGCAATCCCACTGCTGGGAATTTACTCAAATGAAATGAAATCAGCATATGTAAGTGTTATCTGTACCTTATGTTTATTGCAGCTCAATTTACAATAAGACAGCGAATCAACCAGATGTCCATCAACTGATGACTGGATAAAGAAATTATGGTAAATATCCACTATGGAGAACTATTCATCTGTAATACAGGATGAAATTCTGTCATTTGCAACCAAATGGATGCAACTTGAAACCACTATACTTAGTGAAATAAGCTAGTCCCAGAAAAGACAAATACATGTTTTCCCTGATCTGCGGTAATAGAGTACCAAAAATGCAATGTATAGAAAACAAAGTGACATTTTGAACTTTAACAATTGTTTACAGCCCTTGTATTTACTGTTGAGGAACAGGTTTTTTTTCTTATTATTGGTTGCAATATAATGTTATGAATATAAAGTAAACTGTAGATTATTGTAAAAATTAAGAGAAGGATTAGGAGAAGAAGGAAGAGGAAGTGTGGGAGTATGGGTAGGAGGGAGGGCAGGCTAGGAAGTATCACTATGTTCCTAAATCTGTATATATGAAATGTGTATACCTTAAGCAAAATTGAAAAAGCAATAAAAATAAAAAAGAACCTATGAGAAAGACATCAACCTGTATAATCAGTCTTTAAGATGCTGGTCCCAGGAGAAGATGTTTTGCACAGCAGTTAAGATGCCACTTGGGATGCAGGCATCCCATAACTGAGTGCCTGGGTTTGAGCCCTGGCTCTACTTCCATTGTCTGCTTCTTGCTAATGTGCACCCTGAGGTGAAGCAGAGAATGGCTCAGGTTTTTCTGTCTCCACTACCTACATGGGAATTCCTGGGTTTGTCTGGCTCAGCCTGGCTCTTATGGGCGTTTGGGGAGTGATTCAGTCAATCGAAATTCTCTCCCTCTCTGTCCTTGTCTCATTTTGCCATTCAATTGAAACAAAGACTGTCCTGAGGAGAGAGCCTCAGGCCGCATTGCCCAGTGGGCATGAAGGGGCAATGGACCCTCACTTCCCAGTCATGCCCCTCAGCAAGGGAGCCCAGTGAGAGGCCTGCATCCTTGAGCAGAGTGTGTGGGTTACAGTCACAGCCCCAGTTCCAATTCCCACCTCCTGCTAATGCACACACTGTGGGGTAGCAGGTGAGAGCTTAAGCAGTGGGGTTCCTGCAACCCATGTTTGGAACTGGGTTGAGTTTTTAGATCCAGGCTTAAGCCAGAGCCATAACCAGCTGTTTTGAGCATTTGGGGAGTGAACAATAGATGGAAGTTCTATGTATCTCTTTGTCTGTCTCTGCCACTTAAATATTAATAAATATGATTTAATGCTATAACTAGTACTCAAACAGTATTTTTCACTTTATGTTTCTGTGTGGGAGCAAACTGTTGAAATCTTTATTTAATGTATGCTAAACTGATCTTCTGTATATAAAGAGAATCAAAAATGAGTCTTGATGTGAATGGAAGGGGAGAGGGAGTGGGAAAGGGGAGGGCTGCAGGTGGGAGGGATGTTATGGGGGGAAGCCATTGTAATCCATAAGCTGTACTTTGGAAATTTATATTCATTAAATAAAAGTTAAAAATAAAAAAAAATAAAAAATAAAAAAATAAAATAAGTACTAAAAGAATAATTTGATATTAAAAAGAATGTTGGTCCCAAGGCAGTAAAATAGTACGTGTATGTCTTCCTCTAAGACTCACATGCATTAGGAGGCCCAGGCCTGGCTGTTTTCCTGACAGTTTTGAGAAAGCCTCAGCCCTCATTGCTTACTGGGCATAAAGGGGCAGTGGACCCTCATTCCCCAGTCATAGCCCTCAGCAAGGGAGTCCAGCACCATTAGGATGCAGGAGGCAATGTGGGAATGTTGGAAACCTTGTCTCTTTGAGTGTAGGACCAGATTGACTAGGATCAAAATGAAAAGTCTCAGCCCCAAAGTATGAGGTGTATAATCTAGGTTCTTAGAGGGACTTCCTAAACCATAAGTGAGAATTCTGATTTTCTTTAACATTTTCTCTTTATAGGGTTAGTCATCATGTTTACACAACCATTTGCTATACCTCAAGAATAACTGAAGCTCTATAAGGGAGATAATATTATTGCTCTTTTGCAGAGGCGGTAACTATTGAGTGTCTTTACAT